CCACTGGCGGGGTGGAGGGGGGACGTTAGCACATAGACCACCTGAATGCCGACCACGTTGCCGGGAGTCTCTGTACATGATGAGGATATAAAGATAAAAAAGGGCGGCTGCTGGGTGACATTTCATCAGCTAGTCCGACAGATAGACACCTCGCCTCAGCCAGGAAGGGGAGGGTGGGGGGGGGGGGATTAAAGAGACTGTCCCATAACTGGAAGGTCGTAAAATTCATCCTGGCTGCCCGCTGCACTCTGATCCCTCTGGCGTAATGTGGACCTTATGGTTTCACTCATCCGTAAATATCTCCTGCCGATTGGATAAGCTAATTTTACATAGCCGCAACTTTGCCTTGTCATGCTCACACACAAATTAGAAGCTCAATTACTCGATATTTCTGCATTATTGGTGAATCAAATTACAGTTTTATCCTGCTTTAGCTCCCTGGCTTTGTTTATACAGCACATTTACTGTATAATTCAGCCTCCTATCGCCCCTGTTTTTAGCATTAGCTTGCCTGCTACCTGTTCAGCAAAAAACAGACAAGGCTAGCAAAGAATAAACAATAACAGACTGTTCTTCAAAAATAAATGACCACAGTGGCTAAAAACATCAATCTGATCGAACCACACATACACATGTTTTCAAAGCACTAGCAGTGTTAGCGCAGGTAGGAGAGGAGGCGGTACAGCTTCCATGACGCTTTGACAATGTGCCAGTGGCTAAAACTCACAGGACATTAAAGGAATAATTAGAAACACTTTTAAATGCCCCAATGAACATATCAAGTACCAGTCGCAGTCTAATGTTGAAGTCAGGAGGAGGAGCTCCTCTCCAAACCTTCAAATACGTTAAACAAATGGCAATAAAGTGAACTGAGAGTTGAACCGAGCTGAACCCGTAGAAATGAATGAAATCAACAGGTTGAATTTAATTTAGATACAAACAAACCAATAATCTCCACTGATCCCGGAGCCGGTGTGTAGCAGCTGCTGAATAGCTGTGAATCCAGATCAGTTTTATAGCAGGTTAATAAATATAACAGATTGCTTTGCAGTGATTGTGGAGCAGCTAAGAGGAGTTGTTATTCTCAGCAGTGTCGTTCTTAAACAGTAACAACATGGTGGCTCAGCGCCTCATTATTAGCCGTGTGAGTGGTGACTTTCAGTCTGCACATTAATATGTAAATTAAATGTTAATCGATTTTCAAAAGGTGTGCATTTATCATGTATTTTACAGCAGCAGCCCAGCGTGACTCAGTCAATCAGAACTGAACTATGCAGTTTGTAATAAGGCAATTCAGGTGCTCTGAAAATGATTAAAAACAAATGGTGACACTTTACTTGGAGTGCACTGCAGATGCATTACGAGCAGATAATAAGCCCCTTGAAGTACGGGCAAACTTTTTACGACGCGATAATCAAACATCAGGGAATTACATTCAATCAAACTTTTTGTCATCAAGTGTACAGCTGCCCTGTAAAGTATTCAGCTCGGCTTTTCTTTTTTTTTTTCATATTTTGTAAATCATGTTCTCATCATTAATTATTTTGCAGTAGCTTAGAGTGGCTTATGAGGACCACTTCAATTAAAGATTCAGCAAAGAAAACAGACTCTGTACTTGGAAGAGAAGAAGAAGAAGAAGAAGAAGAAGAGGAGGAGGAAGAGCTCTCACTCTCATGTAGGATGAGGCAGGTAAACAGGAAGTACACGGAGCAGACTACTGACTAGACACATACATTAGTGGAAGCTAAATGCCAGCGCAGCATCAAGCCGGCTGCACACATGGCTTTACGTAGTTAAGTTTTTGGTTCTCTGTGCTTCTTTATGAGCCTGAGCGCGGCGAGGACTTAGTAGTTTTGCTGGGGCCCCCTGCTGAGCGCATAATGAATGGCAGACTGCGGCTGTGGGCCTGCCGGGCGAGAAGAAACAGCACTGTGGAATTGTGGGGTAGCGGAGGAGAGTCTGGCTTTGTGGGTCTCGGCGGGAGCTCGCTCAGATCAAACATGTCGACAGCGCCGCCGCCCGCCGGGCATTCTCGGTAGACAGACCTGAGGAGGAGACGCCTGAAAGCCAGACAGAGATTTTTGTACCTGTGTGTGTGTGTGTGTGTGTGCTGTTTATGTTTGTATACATGTGTAGTTGTGTGTGTGTGTGTGTGTGTGTGTGTGTGTGTGTGTGTTTGTATGGCAGCTTTTGGCAGTGTTTTTCAGCGGTGAATGACGGCAGCGTGGCGGAAGCTGTCATGGCTTTTGTTTGTTTTTTTGGTTTTTGTGTTTTTGTGTTTTTGTGTTTTTGCCTTTGGAGGACAGACTTTGAAATGGATTAACAAGAACTGACTTGATGTGACTTCCAGGTTTGCTTTGACACGACTTTCCTCCTTTTGATGTGGCTTCATCCCACACACACACACACACACACACACACACACACACACACACACACACACACACACACCTCCTCCTCCATGTCCCTGCATCTGTCCTTGTGTTAGTGATACTGTGGT